TATATATATATATACATATACATACTAGTCATAAACTGTAATTTATCTTTTTTCTTGGAAAAATGAATCATTAATATATGAACAACATTCCAGGTATAATGACTCAATAAGATTTGCAATCGGCGGCTGTACTAACCTGCAAGATTTTAACGATAAAAATGCCTCCTATTTCTTCGAACAAAGTTTCTTTGAAAAATGAGATCGGTGCGAAGTCAACTAGCGAGCACCTTTGAATGATCTTTTCTTGCTTAAATCATTCTTCTGTTTATTCGTTCGACTGTCCTTGAGCATATCTTGTTAAGAAGTATCGATAAAGATTCTTCAAAGATATATTTGCGAGCAGCTTTTTTTCACTTTTTTTTCACTGTTTTTTTTCAGAACATATCTTCTTAATCTTTTCAAATTATTTAAATATTTTAGACATGTTTTATATATAAGCAATCTTTATTTTTCTTCTATTTTCAATAAATATCTTGAACAATTTATTTTTAAAGTTTATATTTTGCGTGTATAGTCTATTTTTTAATAATTTTTTTACTTGCTCTATTATTCCGCGGAACCAGTTTTCCAGCCATTATTATGAATGATCGCTGATAATCCTTACAATACGTTTGATTTTTAATAACATTTGCATCCAAATCTTCAGTTTTTGCCTCTTCTTAAGAAATGCATATTCCGTTCCTGGTGTAATATATTTTAGCATGATTAGTATTTTAATTCATAGATAAAATTTTGAATATTTATAGATAAAGAAATGGGGTGGGGATCTTTTAATTTTAGAAGATCCAAAATAAAAATTAAATTTATTTTAAATTTATAGATTGAGTTGTTGCTACTTCCTATCTGTCAGTTGACACTGAGATTCTTTGAGATTTTGATTGACTTCCGCATGAGAGAGTATCAAAAGTTTAATATTTTAATTAAGAACAACTTATCTCTAACGTAAAATCTATGAAATTTTCATAAACTTCTATATTAACTAAGACGAAAACAAATGATCAACAATTGCAATTAAATGTCCAAGCATGAGATTTTGGAAGATCTATTTTTGAAAACAAGATCAAAATTGCATCAAATCTGAAAAAATTCTTTGTCAACTGACTTGCAGAAGTGTCAAAAATTCAATTTAAAATATTCATTTAATTATTTACTTTAAAAAATTCTCCGAAGAACATTTTTGTGCGTGTGTGTGTGTGTGTGTGCAATATCAAACCTCGATTTTAAATAGTATATTACAGTAAAGAAAAACAATTGATACACAAAATTTCATTAAGTTTCAAGATACTAAATTAATAAAGATCTATTAGATCCACTCTATTTCTGTAAAATCACAATTTGATATTATCTTGACCGATGTAATACACTCCAACATAAAAATACGAACATTGATTATCAAATAATATCGTAAATAATATCAGAGATTTAATTTCTTAATTTAAAATTTCAAAAAACATTTTTACAGAATCACTTTGGGGAACTAAAGTCTCACTCACAGAATCGTATTATAAAGGACTCTTAGTCCTAAGAGACAGAATGATGTGAAGACACTGTGTACTCGATCACGATTGCGAGATTCGATATATTCCGCGTATTTATCTCGTTCAGAAACTGACTGACGGAAGATCGAACTGGAGAATGCAACCAGAAAACCTAGAGGCCGTACGAGAGTAGAAGTGGTCGCCTGACCACGACGAGGCTCAGCGAGAACTGGCTCTGCTTGGCCCAGTCAGACTTCGCGGACACTCAAATACTGTTTGTGCAATCATTCTTTTTGAGCAAAACAGTTTCTCTTAGAGGGGCAAGCTTTAACGCTTTTTTAATGCTATCTAAACAGATCTCGGGATCATTCTGAGAAAATATTCAAACAATACGTGCCCAAGCCAACATAATTTTAAATGTTCGACTGATAAAATATTCATTTAAAGAGATATTCCAGATCGAGACGATCGTCGAGTTGCGATGATTTGTGCCTCATAAAAAGTAAAACAAAAAATCGCAGAATGTTAAATAATTCATCTTAGATGGAAATTAAAAAATTGCCACAATTATAATATATAGCGAAATTAAACCGAATTATTATTATTCAAAATAATTCTTCAATGTTGTGTTCTCAAGGAAAAACGATCCGAAACCAGTCTGTCTAGATAGGGGAAATTCCCGAAAGATCTTTTGTTCTCATTAAAAATTACTCTTTTTTTTTTCAAGCAAAAGAAAGATTGCGAATGAGATGACGCACTTTAAAAAAATAGAATTGGATGATTAAACTGGTTTTATTAGTATATTTTATTAGCAATATAGTTCTTACAATAAAATTAAATAAAATGCGACTAAAAATGTAGTACATAATGATTTATATACATATAAGGATTATATGAATTCGATTGTAAGATTTCTATTTTATAAAAGCGTGGTGTAAGATTGAAACTAATGTAATATGCATTTTACATACAAAACGAAGCAATAGAATAAATAATCATATTTGTAGAATAAACAATATTAAAAAATAGATATTTTAAACTGAATGTATTATATATCTTAAGATAAACAACTTTTTACTGATTCAAGCCATAAAACCTCGAAAGGCGGAAAAACTGATTATATCATGTGTTAAACATGGCAATATTTTATTCAAGTTTTTTATACACTTTGTGTTTGTCTAAAAAGAAATCCTAAAAATTGATTTTATCTGTAACAAATATCTTATAATTGCATATAACAATTTTCTATCTCACTATCTAAAATACAAAGTATAGTAATAGTATTATATAATTTGACATTACATGATCCATTATATAAATAAAACAAATATAACATTTATTAAGATAAATTACGAGATAGCTTGCTTGAAAATTGCAAATGCTCGATATATAGAACATCTACAATTTGCAGCTAAAAGATGCAAATATATATATATATATATATATTTATTTATTTAAACAAAAAGATTTTTTAGTATATCTAATCTTAAATAAAAAATATAACAATAACAATTATTGATTATTTAGCGAAACGAAAAAAGTAACGTTCAATGCCTTTTTTTCGCAATATTACTGAATGCGAGTGAAATTCGATTAGAAACCGGAACTGTGCTCTGGAAATCTTTATTGCAATATTCACGCATGGTATATTCAACCATGATAAGCAGAATACACATATCGGTGCGCATTTACGAAATTGCATTCATTTTCAGTACAAAGGCTTTATGAAACGAAATAAAATGTAGTATAAAACGTCATAAAATGTACAAAAAATATAAAATTTATAAAAAAATATATATAAAAATGAAAAAAATACAAATTACATCCGCAGAAAGAGTCACTATTTCAATGATTTTCTTTTGTTTGCCAATAATAAGAAGAGTTATGCCGTGAACACGTCAAGGCGATCCTCTTTTTAGAGCTGTCTTATTTGTTAGCCATTTTTTCCTCGGTAAATAACGATGATAATAATAATAGTATGAGATGTTTTGCTGAACATATTTTTTACAACTCGTTTCATTCTAATCAAAAATTTAAAAAATCACGTATGATGAAAGAACATATAAAAACTGCATCATGTGCAAAATTGCATATATAGGTGAGATCCAGATAAAATAAAAACAAAAATTTATGAAAGCTAGTGTTTAAACAAAGATCCATAAAGTGGATCTTTTTCCAATAACCCAGTTATAAAATTATAATGAAATTATTTAATATCGAATGATATAAAGATCACACATACACACTTCTAAATTATATAATCATGTTTATACAGGATGTATCTGAAATAATACACTAAACTTTAGGAGCATATTCTAGAGATCAAAATAAGACTTTTTTTCTTATGAACATGGGTCCGCAAATGAAACCTCCTCCGAGCAAGAGGCCCCTAAAGTTTGGGGAAAAAATTAAAAATTGGCTGTATTTCAGAAAAAAAAATGGCAGATCTTGGTTTTGATGTTACCTATTACCCTCTCTTGAGAGATAAATAAATTTGCGTTGCGAGTGTTTGGTCAATTTCACACATTTTCGAATTTTAGCTCGGAGGGGGGTTCATTTGCGGACCCATGTTCATAAGAAAAAAAAAGTCTTATTTTGACCTCTAGAATACGCTCTTAAAGTTTAGTGCATCATTTCAGATACACCCTGTATATACACTGGGCACATATGCACTGTGTGGTTTTATCTGCTTTTGTGAATATTATTTCTTTTCGTAAGTTTTAGATAGCTTTATTTCTATTTGGACAATGTATATGTATATATACCTATATATATTATGTATGTAAGAGAGATCTTATTTTTTGTAATTTATATTCTATTAATTATTCATTGCGGTGTTCTCTCTCCGTCTCTCCGCAAAATTTAAAAGTTAAAGCAGACTATATGCAAAGTGTTCCATAAAACAACAAGTACAACGAGTAGTAGAACGAACAGCACATCGATATTTCAAGTACAGGCGTGACATAGCTTACATAGCTTCATTCAATATTTGATAATTTTAATATTTGATGTCTATATACATGGCCATAGACGCGCGTAGGCGAGATATACACAGAATATACGGTATAAAAGCACAGTGTATTGATTCACAAACCGCGTTTCCGATATTTTGTAAATGGCAATATGCAAGACAAGATTCTCTTAAAATATGATTGTAATAAATATTACATTTAAAACTATGATAAGAAATAATGTAAAAAAATAATTTATCTAATTTTTGGTAGGTATTATAAAGTTGTAACATGTAAAATACATAACTGTTTATAATTAATAGTAAAATCTAAAAAAATAAAGCTTTTTAAACACCCAAAATGTTTTAAAAACGGTAATTAAAACAATTCAAATAAAGAAAGCGCAAGAAAAAAAGATTTTAATATAATCTTTATTTAAACTATATCCTTTTTTTCTTTCTTTATTATTGTATTATTTATTTTTCTATAATTGCACCAGCTAATTGTTGATGATATTGTACTAATTGCAGTCATTGTGATAAATATGACGTACATTACTGAGAATGCTTGTTGATAATCCTGAGAAGTTCACCTTGCAATCTTTTATAGCAAAAAATCAGAAAAATAGTTATCATTGCTGTAAACACTACGGTGAGATCTAAAAAACTATAATTTAAGTCTTAATTGCAAAAATAGTTGCTAATGGAAAAAAGACGCATTTATGTATCATGTCGTTAAATACAAAACATGTCGCATATGTCTTTATACAGTTTTTTTTGTAATTTTCGAGAAAATAAATTATGCAATTTTTTTAGAATATTTAGTAAAATTTTTTTTTCTTTTTTAATACAAAATATCGTTTTTACACACGCAATCTTATTTTAATTAAATATAAAAAGTTTAAAAACAAAGACGATTAAAAAAATCAAAAACATTGTTTTCAGTTTTACATAGCGGATAATAAATCTTATTTTTTACTATTTATTTTTCTTTTATTTTAATGTAATTTCTTATCAAGTTTGTAAAATTCATATTACCAATTTTATATATTGAAAAAGAAGAGGATTAGATTTCTAAATTATGATATATATCAGATAAAAAACTTTTCCAATTTTTAAAGTATTCAAACATTTATTATTACTTGAAAAATCGCACATGTTTCTTAAAAACCGAAACATATTTTTATAAGGAATTATTTTAATGTGACATTTAATTATTTAAATGTTTCATAAAGCTGTAGGTTTCAATATTTGTTGAGATAACATTGAATTATAACATGAAAAACTTAATTACTATCTGGGTTCTTAATACGTCAAATCAGCACAGCATCCATGCATTTTTCTTTACTCGTCTACCCTTTACTCCTTTATAATTTTATTTTTATCAAGTTTTTAAAGAAAAATGTAATCTAAATCTTTTTCAGAAAAATACAGAAAAATAATTTTAAGCTGCAGAAATTTATATAAATAATTTTCTCAAACTTTGTTATTAAACAAATTAATTTCTAAATTGAAATTATGTAGCAATTTTAAATGTTTCATGAAGTTGAATTTTCCAATATTTGTTGAGATTTAAAGATAGAAAATAATATAATAATATATAATATAGAAAAATTAAAAACAAACTTCTAAATATTATTCTACATCAAAATTACTGTCAAAAATATATGATTTGCATTTCTCTTGGTAACCGTTATGCAACTCGACAATTATGACTTTCTTTCGTATAGCGGAAATGACGCACAAAGAGAATGCTCAAAAAGCTAAAATCATCTTGAAACACACCGATCACGCTTTCGTTTTCTCTCATCAGTGAAAACTGCTATAAGATTTGTCTCATACCATTAAATAGTTACATAATTGTTTTTGAACTATATTTTTTTATACTCAGTCATGCAAATGAGCAGTTTTTATCTTATAAAGTGATGCGTTAAAAATCATGCAACCGGTAATTATATGCAGAATGCAATCATCTGCAACGTAAATCGCAAATCTTCTGTTTGGAAACAGGAGCAGCGGCTCCATTTCCAAAGAGAGACAAGGTCAACCAGGTACTGCGCAAACCAGTTTTCGTTTCGAGCCATCAGCGCCTTTTTCCAACGACGAGAAAGTTTATTTTTTTCTGCGTATCATTCTGGAAATCTCTCTCATTGTCAGATGAATTAAGTTAAGACTTAGAAAAGCCTACTTTTTGCGAAATAACGACTTTATAAATATAAAACACTACAAATGTCACAATTAAGACATTATTTAATTATTAAATATATTCAGAGCCTGTTGATTGACTTTGTTGCATCTGCTTTTGCATCATAAAAGGGAAAGTATATCTGGTT